CGGCGGCCACGGCGCGGCGGGAGGGCGGGGCGGGCCGAGCGCGACAGGCCGTCGGGTTTCCGTCGCCGCCTGTGGCTTTGCGGTGCTTCCGGGAGTGCCGGTCCCCGCCCCGGGGAACGCTCGTCTCCGAACTTGGCTCCCGAATCCTTGGCGCCCCGAAGCAGGCTGCGCCCTTCGACTGTGGGCGTCAGGTGAGAAAGGAAATAGACCAGGAAGATGCTTGAGATTGAGGGCGTTCGTTAGTCACGGAAGTCTCCCCTCGACTGACCCGGGCGTCCTGGGCTGTAACTGGAAAGAGTAGTCATAGAAACCTAATTACACTTGTGCTAGAAGTTAACCAGTGTAGGTCCTTGAGAAAAGACCAAAAGGCCGCCGTAAAAGGGTGGGTACAACTGGCCTGGGAGGGATAAATGTATGCAGTCAGCAATGGCAATTGGTCCGCCAGTCTCTGGATTGCTCCAAGACAAAACTTAGCCAATTCCCCCCAGGGGCTAGCATAGCAGGTGGCCACCCGCAAGGCAGACTGTGCTGTTTGGGCCCAGCAGCTTGAAAAACACGCCAAGCAGGTCTGCCTGCACGCAGAAGTCCCTAAGAGAAGGAGGAGAAGGGTTTGCAGTGTGGTCATCCCCTCTGGGGCTGATCCCACCTGTACACCTGCTCTGTATAGCAGAAGGAAAAAAAGAATCCACTGATCAACTGGCGTTAATATTCCCCAAGTTACCGTACTGCATATTGTTCATTGCACCCCCCCACCTCTTGCTTGTAGCTATTGTTACTGAAACTTTTTTTTTTTAAAGTCAGAAACTTGTGCTGTTCTGTGAACCAATGGGGTAAGTTCCTAAACAGAAAAAATTTTATAACCCTTCTTCTGGGCATTCCTTAGAGATACTTTGCCCATGCATGGCTCACTGACATGGGGCTCTCCAGAGGGGGGGGGGATTTCTTATTCCCTGTCTCTGTCTGTCTTTTGGGGAAGCAGGTGTGCCCTATAGCAAAAACCTCTCCAAAAAAAGAAACAACTAAAGGGGGTACATTTAAACCCACCATTGCTGACTTAGCCACAGTGGCATGCAGTGTGCCAAGACGCTGTGCACTGCAGGGTGAGACCGTATGGGAGACCCAAGTTCACTTCTCCTTCCAACCTAAAGCCGAGCCCAGCGGCACACACCTGTAATCCCAGCATCTCAGGAGATTGAGGTGGGATGACAAGTTTGAGGCCAGCCTAAGCACGGAGGAGACCCTGCCTAAAAAATAGCTGGCATGGTGATACACACCTGTAGTTGTTATCATCTAATCAGTGAGAAATAAGAGGACATCCAGACATAGCCAAACTCGTTGGAGTTTATTGATTAACCCGGTAGCATATTGGGGGACTCATGTCTCTCAAAACCCCACAACCCCGAGTGTAAGGTGAGGGGTGCTTATAAAGGTAAAAATCACTCTTTTCAGGGTTGACCTGGCAATCACAAGAACAGCAGTGGGCTTGAAAGGTTGGGGTAGGGTTTCACAATGTAAAAGCAAAAGCCATTTACATAAGCAAAATAAGCAGGTTAATCATTCCTAAGGGTACTTCCATCCCTACCCAAACACAATGGAATCTTAATGGTCCTCATGGCTCAGGGCAAGGGGTCTGGTGACTGATGATAACACCACTAAGGAACATCTTAAGGTTGGGAGTTTCAGATTATTTAGCAAAGACAGTAGAAGTGTTAATCACTCTGTTTACTCCAGGCAAAAGGAGAAAGCAAGTTTGCAACATAGAGAAGTTCAATATGGAGGTCTACTTCAGTTCCAGCTGGGGAACTGAGGCAGAGGATCAGGCAGGACAGTGCAACTGTCTAAAAAACTGAAAACAATGACAACAGAATGCTACAGCTTTGCTTTAATAAATGTTTATTCAGCGCCTGCTCTGGACGAGGCACTCTGGCGCCGTGAAGGGTACACAGATGAACAAGGCATAATTCATACCCTCAGCAAGCTTACATCTAGCATTTAGAAATTAGACATGTACAGAAATAACTACCACCAAGGCAGAAAGCAATGAATGCCATGGAATTGATGCCAATGTCATGAGAACCTAGTGGGAAAAAATACAGCTAGTAAGTGAAAATAAGAGAAGGTGCCTTAGAAGCAGAGGGTTTAGAATGACAGACCGGGCTAACCACGGTACAGTCGAGTGCACCCGCCACATTGACAGCTGGATCCCACATGGCCGACTGCAGTTTGTATCCTTGCCCTATGGCTTGAAAACCAGGCCAAGTGTTTGCACATGCATGCCCAAAATCCTGACAGGAAGGAGAAATGGAGGAATGAGGTCTGACCATGCCTCATTGGGGGGTGTTTTCTCTCTCTTTGGCAGTAAGAAGGAATGACAGATCAAATGTAAATAGGAAAAAAAAATTAAGAGGAAAAGATATTTGGCAGCTAGAGGTGCTGGCAGTGTGATAGAGGTGGGGAGGAGGCCACCGGGGTTGGGATAAGTTGGGTGAGGAACGCAAGCTGGAAACACCTGGGACCGACTGGAGATGGCCATCGTGCCACACAGAGATGTTTCCTTTCATGGGAGGTTGGCAGGTGCTTTGATCCAAGTTCTGCTTTACAGAGCTTAAGCTGGTGGCAATGGACAGGTGACTTTACAGAAGACGAGCTGACAGAGAGGCCAGAAATGAGGTAGTGACAGAATGAAGCAGTTTGAGGTGGAAGATGGAGGCAACTCTGAGAAGATTCGGCAACGCCTAAATACAGGAAAAGGGGTCCGGGTAGGTAAAGGGGATGAAAGGGATGGCGGGATGGTCTGTTCACACAGCTAGGAGGGTCTAGGGAGAAAAAGGATTGAATATGGGGGGAGGAGAGAGTGTAGAGGTGAGCCCGAGATGCCGGCAGACTTCAGGGAGACAGAGGGGTCCAGCAGGCAGTTCTAAGTTGGGATGAGAGTCCAGGGCAGAGCTGAAAATAAAGACCAGAAAGAGGCAGGAGTGGAGCAGTGGAATAGATGGGGGGGGTGGGGGCAGGATCTCACCAAGTAAGTGTAGTTCAGAGTGTAACCTTATTGTCACTCTTTTTTTTTTCAAGAGGTTTTTGCTATAGGGCATATGCGCTCGCCTGAAAGAGAGAGACAGAGAGACAGAAAGCGGGAAATCACCCCCCAGGGTGGATGGCTATGTCGCAGTCCCTTCTCGTCCATTCTCCTCTCAGGATCTTGGGCACACACGCACACGCGCCCAGCATGAGTTTAAGCCACTTGGTCCGGGTCTCGAACCACGGTCGACTACATGGGAGTCCAGCGACATAGCCATTATGCTAACTGCTGGTCCCACCTAATTGTCACATCCTTCCCCTAAGTATGAAATCTCCACAGAAAACTCAGAAGTACAATGATGCATCACCTGAAAAGGACTGTTTCTCTTTGCGTGCTCTCCGACCATCACTTGAGAAACTACTAGTTCTTCAGTTTTGTGAAGATGAGCAGGAAAGGTGCCTCCATTGTGGAGGGTCATTTTGAAAAGATTTACTCCAATGAGAGTTTTATTTTTTATGTTTCTGTTTTCATTATTATTTATTTTGAAGTTTCCTCTAATAAAATTATTTTTGTAAAAATTTCAGAAAAGCTATTCGTGGACCCTACTTCATCATGTCTACAAGTGGGAAGGGATTCGGCAGGTGATCTCTTTCATTTCACAGATAGGGAGACCAAGGCCTGGACAGGCCAAGGGACATGCCTTGTGTCTTACACAGTAAGGATGGCAAAACTGGACCTGTGAGCACAAGCAGGTGGCTTTGCTCTCCTCCGCAGCGACACCCCTGCATACCTAGCCACCATCAGATAGGGCATATGCGCTCGCCTGAAAGAGAGAGACAGAGAGACAGAAAGCGGGAAATCACCCCCCAGGGTGGATGGCTATGTCGCAGTCCCTTCTCGTCCATTCTCCTCTCAGGATCTTGGGCACACACGCACACGCGCCCAGCATGAGTTTAAGCCACTTGGTCCGGGTCTCGAACCACGGTCGACTACATGGGAGTCCAGCGACATAGCCATTATGCTAACTGCTGGTCCCACCTAATTGTCACATCCTTCCCCTAAGTATGAAATCTCCACAGAAAACTCAGAAGTACAATGATGCATCACCTGAAAAGGACTGTTTCTCTTTGCGTGCTCTCCGACCATCACTTGAGAAACTACTAGTTCTTCAGTTTTGTGAAGATGAGCAGGAAAGGTGCCTCCATTGTGGAGGGTCATTTTGAAAAGATTTACTCCAATGAGAGTTTTATTTTTTATGTTTCTGTTTTCATTATTATTTATTTTGAAGTTTCCTCTAATAAAATTATTTTTGTAAAAATTTCAGAAAAGCTATTCGTGGACCCTACTTCATCATGTCTACAAGTGGGAAGGGATTCGGCAGGTGATCTCTTTCATTTCACAGATAGGGAGACCAAGGCCTGGACAGGCCAAGGGACATGCCTTGTGTCTTACACAGTAAGGATGGCAAAACTGGACCTGTGAGCACAAGCAGGTGGCTTTGCTCTCCTCCGCAGCGACACCCCTGCATACCTAGCCACCATCAGATACTCGGTCATAGAGCCAGTTAGGTAGGGAGACAGGTAGATAAGTAGGTGGGTAAGGAGATAATTACAAGCACAAGTGGTTGGGAATAACACATCTATCTTTTAACCTTTTTTTTTCCTAGTAGGGGAAAATGAGAAAATGGCTTCTATAGATCTACATTTTTTAGACCAATTTTCAAAGCCTTACAGATCTCAAAAGAAAATTACTTTGGCATTCTTGATACAGTAAACCATTTAACGGAAAAAAATAAAAAGGACTATGTTATGACACATTGCATTCAGTAGCTTTAGAGTCAGCCACAATAGAAATGATATTTCTGTTGGCATGTTGCACACATGCAAAGGCAGTTTGCGAGAAAACAGATAAATTCATCTCAGACCTTGGATTGTTTTGTCCTTCACAGAAGCAAAATGCCTATGGTAATTCCCTTTTGGAAAGTTAAATATCCTTAGAATGAAATCCCAAATACATCCATTTCCACAGACAATGGAGGAAAATAAGGAAATTATATCCTAAACATACGTGTCCCAAATAGACCAGCAGAGTTCTGGTGAGGATGACACGGGCTGGTTTGAGTGCATCACCGTCTTCCCTGATAATCTGGTGATACACATCCTGTCGACTTTGTAATTCATGATTCCCTTTAATAAAGGCTGCTTCGGTACGCCTTCAGGTCCACTCAAGTCTTCCAGCAACAGATTCCATTAGAAGTCTTCATATTTTCAAAAAGATCTTCTTTTTATAGAGAATGTAAGCAATAAGCACCCAGAGAACAGTGGCGACTATGTTCTGAGTCAGATGTTCTTTGTGGGACTGGTTATCCTCCAGCCTCCACTGAAAGGGAAAGTAATTCTGAAACACCTCATGGCCGACATACACCAGGATAGAGTTCATACCTTAAAGAAAGATGTGGAAGTTATGTTTTTCCCTGAATCACATCTGATCATGTCTTTCATTTCTGAAATGAGTTCAGTGACAATACAAGAAGTATAACCCGTACATTACTGGCTACTGCCAAAAATAAGTGATGAGTATCTTACATTTTTTAATAGCTAATTATAAGCTATATTCAAAATTAGAAAATATATTCATTTTATACAAATGTGATTCTTGAATACTCAATCTGAAAAAAAAACTAAAATTATTAACTTTTTGTTTTCTAGACAAAAAACTTAAGGTCCAAATATGTTAACTACCGGGTCAGCTCTGTAGCACAGCAGTTCAGTGGATGTCATAGGGCTGACCAGGGTTCAAGTCCTAGCCCCAGAGGTTTTAAAACATGCTTTGTATACATACTTAAAAATCCTTAGGGGATGGAGGAAAAGAGATTGTGGCTTGACCGCCTCACACTGGGGGGGTGCTTTCTCTCTTTCTGGCAAGCATGCATGCACTATAGCAATACTTTTTTTAAAAAAAGAATGTAACTATTGCCAGAATCAAAGGTCTCAAGTAAGTCATTGAATTATCTAGTCTGTCTCTCAGTCTTCAGGCAGAAACGTATTAAACATTCCATTTATTTCTTGGTATCTTTTAGCATTTCTTATAATGCATAATCTTTTAGGCAGTGCATTCATATTAATCAAGCACAACCCTATTTCTTAAATATTAGTTACTAGATAATATTCCCTGGATCTTTTCTTCTCTTTTTTTTTAAATATTCATGACAGAGCATGTGTGCACACACGAGAGAGATAGAGGTGAACATCCTCTGTAGAGTCTAGTCACACCCGTCTCCCTCCTCCAGTCCTCCAGCCTACTGAATCCTAGGCATTTGTGCACACGCCTGTGACGTTGCAGGCTGACCAGCTGGGGACTCAAACTGTGGTCACCATGTGAGCTCCAGCTTACTCTGAGTTGAGTGTTATTGCTGCACCATGAAGCCAGCCCTGGACCATTTCTAATAATCCCCAATTTGTTCTTTCCTGAGGAAGCAAGTGGACCTCACCAACTGTCATACAGTGAGTCCACAATGTAAATGGTGACAATGGGGCAAACTCTTCGGAACAGGCCGGTGACGTGCTGTGTGACCTGGAACGAGATGGACCCTGCTGCTTTCTCCACCAGCTTATTTCTTGGAGACGAGCCACCAGGTCCATAGCGTAAGGCCCCATTGCCAACTGTTTGGGATGAGAAATGGCTTACCTGGATAAAAGAATGGGGTTCCCGTCCACAGTCCCCTCACATCCACAACTGGGTACAGGATCAGCAGGATGAAAAAGGCGAAAGAGCTCAGCGTGGTGACATATGAAATGGACCTGGGAGGGGTCACATGAGGCATTTCAGTGTTCATGAAGAATACATCCGGTTTCAACGTGAAATATCATCATTATTATAAAATGATACTTTTGGATCTAAAATGGCTAGCAGATACTGAGGACCTTCTAGGTGCATCTGCCTGGCATAGTCCATTACAGATCTGATTATCTTATTCAAAAAGATAATACTGAGGGAACCAGCAGTTAGCGTAATGGCTATGTCGCTGAACTCCCACGTAGTCGACCACGGTTCGTGTCCCGGACCCGGTGGCTTAAAACTCACGTTGGGTGTGTGGGCGTGTGTGCCCAAGATCCCGAGAGGAGAATGGAGGAGAAGGGACTGCGGCATGACCATACCCCCTGGGGGGTGATTTCTCGCTTTCTGTCTCTATGTCTCTCTCTGTCTGGCGAGCGCACACACCCTATAGCGAAAAACCTCTCCAAAAAAAAAAAAAAAAGATAATATTTTAAATCTTCTAATACTTAGACCTTAAAAAAAACTTAAATATAAGAAACATGTCCTTCTCTATTGGATCATTTCCAATAGCATCTAAACCTAGTATAGAAGCATCTGTTTTAAGATTTTAAAAAGTAAAGAAAACTTTCTGGAATCCCATGCTCTTCATTTATAACCCAGTTCTCTCTTGCCTTACCATTAACAATTCTCAAGGAGATATCTATACTTAACTTACCTCACATCAGGCTTCCCTGAAAATGACTGAAACTGCTCCTTCTTTTGTTTCACCTGATGACTACACAATTCTGGTGTGTTTCTTGAAAAAATAACCATTGCTAATACTCCTTCACAGGGAAATCAAAAACTTATAAATGTTTACCTGACTGTTTCTGGATTTATTTCATGTGAACTGTTGACAACATTCAAGCAGGATTGACTATCAGAAGGTGAATCAGCCTCCGACACTCGTGTAACCCTCCTGTTTGTTGAGCTCCATTTCTCATTTTCATTCTTCTTTGTGTCCTTCATAGTCAGAGTAGAATTGCTACTTGGAAAGAAGTCCATGAAAAAAGCCTTTGGTTTCCAATAATTATATTGCAAATAAAAAAGTTACTTTCCTAAAAGAAATCCCAAATATTTCCCATCTAAATTCATTTACTAATTAAAAAGCAATTCGGGAACCAGCAGTTAGCGTAATGGCTATGTCGCTGGACTCCCACGTAGTCGACCGCGGTTTGTGTCCTGGACCCGGTGGCTTAAAACTCATGCCGGGCGCATGTGCGTGTGTGCCCAAGATCCCGAGAGGAGAATGCTGGCGAGCGCACACGCCCTATAGCGAAAAACCTCTCCAAAAAAAAAAAAAGATAATATTGAACTCAAAACTCTTTAGAAGGTGAGACGTTAGAAACTAGTATGAGAAAGAACTCTATTTAATCTATTTCATCCTGAATGAGCCTTAGTAGCTTGTTATGTTCAAGAAAGTTTAACATCATTAACTTTATTGGTATAAAATTTTTCAAAATGTTTTATTTTTGTTTAATGTCTATAGGAGCTTAATGATGTCTCCTCTTCTGTTCATATTGTGGAAAACTTATATCTTATTTCCTTATTTTTTAAAAGAATTATTTTATTCAACTGCATTTTATTTATTTTAATTTGACCAGAGAGAGACGGAGGAAGGGAGGGAAAGTGAGAAAGCAAGTCACCAGGTCCAGGACGCAAACCGTGGTCGTCCATGTATGAGTCCAGCACTCTTATTCATGCACCTACCAGCCCCGCATCGTAGTAAGTCAGTTAGGGGTTATGTTTTCAAAGAATCAACTTTTGCTTTTAAAAAATTTTCCCTATTCAGTTTCTGTGATCTATTTCCCTCGTTTCCATTATCTTTGTTTTCCTTATTCTACTTCCTTTGCACTTAATTTACTTTTTAGCATCTTAAAATGAAAGCTTAGATCATTGATTTGATACTTTGTATCCTCATATAAAAATCTAAAGTATTAAGCACTATTTAAGTGGTTTCTGACAAATTTTGCTTGGTTGTATTTTATATTTTCATTATCATTCAATAAAATTTACTTTGAAAAGAAAATAATATACTTTTTTTCTATACCTACCAGAGATTTTTGTTTACTGGAATAAAGCCTTCATTTTCAGAAATTTTCGTCAAACCAATAGAAATAAGTCCCTGTAGTGGAGAAGGGAAAGCTTTAATGTTACACTAGTATCTCCAGACCAAAAATACTTGTTATATTTAATTGCCTAGGAAAGGCTGAATATTGTGCCTTATGTTTTACTCTTAACTGGAAACATATTTTTTTAAGATGTATATAACTAAAAAAAAAAAAGAAAACCTCAAAAAATATATTTGAACATTCCTCTAAGTTGAAAAAAGGTACACTAACTATAAATTACAGTGACTTCTGAGAAGAAACGTGATTGGAAGGTCAGTGGTAAACTCAACGGCAATCCTGGCTGGTTGTTTGATGGCAAACATAAGCATGTTCCCAAAAAGAAAAACCTGGAGAATTTAGATATAGATTTACTTCTCTTTGTGATTCAAGTAAAAAGATGTTCCCTGTTGCAATGTGGTAACAGCTGCAATATCAGAGCTGTTGAACATTTTCTTTCTGTTTAAATATATATGGCATGTGAAGAGAAGTTTTAGAGGGGAACACCGTTACTTACTAGAATACAACACCAGGCGGTGAATCGAATCAGGATGTCTTTGGTCCGATCCTTGTAATACAGAAGTATCTTTCCTGCCTGGAGAAGAAAACACAGTATGACCAAGAGACTCGCCTACGACGTGCTCTTGCGTCACACTTACAGAATCGTTTGCTCAGTGTGCTGGACACTGGGAGCAGGAGGAGGAGTGAGATGTCACTGGGGCCCCTGGCCAGTGTAGACCGAGAGAGAAACATGGTGACAATAGACAAGCACCCCCTCAGGAAAGAGGCGGCCTCAGAGAGGAGGGGCCACTGCGTGGAGGCCATAAACAGAGATGATCATGGCAGGAACTGCGTTCTGAGCAGGATGGAACAGAATTCACAGGAGCGCGACAAAAAGAGTGGGAAGGTGCAACGACGTGGCAGGTGCTGCAGGTAACCCAGGGCACTGGAGGGTGGAGGGCAGAAAAGGTGCGAGGCAGGCGGGCTCTGTGGGTCTTCGAGGCAGAGGCTTTCTTGCTTAGGTCATGGGGAGCCAGAGAGGTTCAGCAAAAAGTGACAAAGGACCAGCTGCAACTGGCTTGCTGCATGGCCTGGTTTGGGCAGCACTAGGGAAGAGCGGCAGGGGAAAGAAGAGGAT